GGCTCGGATTAACTAGGGGAGGTTTATTAATCCTGACTTTGCATTACTGTGGAGACCAAAGTGGCAAAGTTTGCGATTGCACGGCGTCAATATTGAAACAGCATGAAACAGCTATATACATGCAAGAAAAAAATTGTGTTTTTGGAGCGGTTCTCGTCAAATCCAGCCCGTAATCGATTGAAATCAAAATGTCCACGGATGCTTTGCAGCACTTCTAGGTCCCCCACTAAAATGTGTCTAAAGTGCTGCTTTTCAAAGCCTTGAAAATGTTAACCTTTGCGAATCTAAATGAACAGATTCAAATCCGCCCACACCGCTTGTCGCTGCAGGGCGTGCTATGGGGCTCTTAAGCTCTGCTATGGGAATAGCTTTGCTAGGGGGGGGGTTCGCGCGTGCGCGGCTATGGTTGGGGTGCAGGGCCACTGGGGAGAGCGCTTTGGAGGTACATTTTTGGATGATTTTTCGTTACGTCGTGCTTGCAGGGCCACTGGGGAGAGCGTTTTGGAGGAGTTTTTGTGTTTTGGTGTGGTTGCTGCGTTGATTGTTGCTCGGCCTGCACGGCCACTGGGGAGAGCGTTTTGGAGGTGTATTTTTGGATGGCTTTTGGCGACGCCGAAGTTGTATCACCATTATGGGCTCCAAGGTAGATGAAGGTGTATTTTTGGATGGCTTTTGGCCCGCAAGGTAGACGAAGTTGGCCCCAAGATGGCTCCAACGCAGCCGTAAGACAGCCAACCTGGCACCTAGATGGCTGCACTTTCACTAACTTCGGCTGTTCGTGCGCGGTGTGGGCGGCTGTCGACGCGAAGCGTCTTGAATAAAAAGACTGGCATTAAAGCCATAAAACCAAAAGAACTACGACTCTAGCTCCTAAATGTCAAGATGTATATACTTGGGAATCTGACAATTACTTTACTAAAAAATATCAATTGTTGGTGTGACTTGAGACCGGAAAGGAGTAGAAACTTCGGTGCTCCACAGATATGCACCGATGGAGTTCCAGGTAAACCTCGGACTGGGACCTTGTTTCTCGCTGCCTGTGATCAAAATGCCCAGGGTCTCAGAAAAACCCACCCGTGGGTTTTCAAGGGGGTGACACGGACATGCAAAGGGCTGGGATAAAATAGCACCACGATATAAGTTCACCAAATAGAAAACATTCATGTTCATAGCATCTTTAACTGGTGAGGGGCCTGGGGGTTGGGGGCAGTGTTTACTGTTCCCGGTGCAGGGTGTGGGAAACCCATTTCGGACCCCCCGGTTTCCAAGAAAATGCAACGGAACCTCTCTATATGTAAGATGAGTATTGTGTTTTGCACCCGTCCAGGCACTCAACAGCTTGCGACACCGAACAAGCAAGGTCAAATCAAACAGTAAAACAACACGTGCTGAAGGACCTCAAAAGGACCACAACGCTGCGGAAAAAAGGTCTGCAATTGATGGGCCAACCATCCCAGACCTTGCTTGCAACGGGCCCCAGGGTCCTATGCATTCTTAGAGGTATGATGAGGTATGTGAAAACAAAAAAAATTGTCCATTCTGTTTGTCAGTCATTCTCCTGGTTGGCCATCCAGATCATCTAGGTCTTGATTTCACACTCCGACTCTGCATCCAAAGGGCCGCAGCGGCGAGGATCTCCGCATCCCCTCGCAGCTCCTCGGAGGCATACGCCAAGGCCACACCATCCCTGAGGGCCGCATTCGTTGGAGGCTGCGAGGTCTTAGAGTCTTACAAAGCCTTGCAACGATGAAGAGAAAATAGTGAGAATTTGTAGGGGCAATTTTGGTTGGTCAGAGTTTTCCAAAGGCGTTCTGTAAATAGACGGTGTCATCCGAGTCTGCTCCTATGAGGTCACATACATGTTCTTTATCCCTTGGTCTGGTTAGCAAGTTTGTCAGACTTGTGGCCTATCCTGCTTCAAGAAGGATGTTAATAGTACTCTGCTGGACCCCAGCTTGGCCACAATGGTAAAGCTACCTTGCACCACATGTCCACTGGCACCCGCCCAGTACGGATAATAAAGGACTACAAAAAACAAAACATAAGCAAGACTAGGCCTAGGCCTAGGCCCGTGTACCCCTCTTCTGTTGTGAATCTCCATGAAGCTTGGTTGGCACAATGCCTTATGACGGATTTTGGGCCATGCTGAAAGATTTGGCAGAACTAGCTTCCGACCAATCAGCTTTTGCAATTTACAAAAAACATCTTCGCCCATCAAACTTCACACTCAAGCACCAGCCCTTGCAATGTCCTTTTTGCAACCCTTGGTTACCAATTCTGCCAACTCTTTCTCCGTATTCGGATGTAGTCTGGGTCGTCACCGACCCTTCTTTGCCTCTCAGGCCAGCGAGACAAATAGCGAGCAAAGGCCTGTGTCCAATAATAAACTCTTGCTGCAACCTTCACATTGTAGCCCACATGTTCCTCATGTTTCTTGAAGCAAAAAAGGCGCCGATTGTCATTGCTGAAGAAGCGCCCATTCCTTTCAATCACCTCAAGTCGGAGCTTTGGATGTACAAGTGGGTCCACTCTACCCTGATCAAGGTCTTCGATCAAATCCTCCAAGAGCCTGCCATCTTTGAAGGTTGCACAATGTTTTCTTGCGTGTACCGTGTACCCAATCTGCCCAACCTCCAAGTATCGGACGTCCAGGTCCTCCTCAATCTTAACTTTGTTGCTGGCCTGTTCCTGCAGAATTGCCCAAACCAAGCCAGTTCCAACGATTCTGGCTGACTGGCAATCAATTGTTGTCCTTCACGCCAAATGGCAGCGCGCACAGCCATCGCTTCAGGCTCCACGTCTACCGTTGTGCCCTCCACTGGGTCGGGCGGCGCAGTGGTAGCATGTTGATAGATCGTTCGCAGCTGGCCGCTTAAAGGATGGACAAAAAATGCTCCAGCGCGGCGACACAATGATGATATTTGGCAAGTCCGTGTGCTCCAACGACTCGGAGAGCCACTTCAGTTTCTTCCTGTGGGGAGCTCCACAAAGGTGGGTGGCCAAGTTTCCTGCCACTGTGTAGGCTGGATCATGCTGGATCGCCGGCCTGTTGCTTGTGTCGTGTTTCAACACCTTCTCGCAAATTGGGCACTCCACCATCGGCAGTTCGCGTGGAAGGTCCAAAATCTTGGCGCGCAAGAGCTGCACTGGTCCATAGAAGTACTTCCACCAAGAATCCTGATCGTTGAGAGCTTCTCGTCCACTCTCCTCTGTCCAATCGGGCCACACCTCACAATCAATCCTGACCTGGCGGGCTTCTTCCCGCACCAAATGGACTTGATCTATGGCGTTGTTATTAAGACTCAGCTTCGCTGTAAGCGCTGAGAGCTTAGACAGCTGCCGAACTACGCCGTTTGTAGTGATTCTGTTTTCATCCAGGTTTATAGCTTCAAGGGTGGACCCCGTTTCCCACAGTAGCCTGCACAGCTTTTCAAGGAAGCAATCATCAAGGTCATTTTTGGCCAGAGTGAGGGAACCAACAAATCGTTTGCAACCAAGCTCGCGTAGTCGGGACAGTACCAGGCACCTGTCAGAACTCTGCTGCCTCCCGGCATGTGTGCCAGGACTCCACCACAGACCTTCAAGGCGAACACAAGCATCGAATGACTCACATCGTTCGGCTCTTGTTATTCTGCGAATCTCTGCCAGGATCAAGTCAGGATCGGCCCCCTTAGGATGATACCTGTCAGCCTGTACCTTCAAATTCCCATCTTCGACCCATGCCATGACTCCACCATCACTCTTCGCAACCACCACATCCGAACTTTGCGACTCTGCGAAACCATGGCTGCCATGGCCACCATAACTGTCCTTTACCAGCTGGGCGACCTGCTGACGAGTGGCCTTATTGGACCCAACGACGAGGACGTCAGGGCTACTAGGAACAAGTGCCACGCTACTAGGAACAAGTGCCTTACTGGTAGTAACAATAAGAATTTAATTAGAATTCTAATTACTACCGAAATGTGTCCATCCATTTCCATCGGCGACCAACAGCACTGCAGGGGGGACCTCGCAACTCTTGAGGTCGCGATAGCCGTCCAAGTCCACACGCCTCTTCTTTTGGCTTTGGGACTCTAGATGAGCCACCCAAAAGCCCGACACTTCAGTCCATTTCAACTTCATGGCAATCGGGGCAGCTACAATATGATCAGGACCAATGGCTCTTCTACTCTTCTGACCCGCGCAGTGGGGGCTCTACTCAAGTTGGGGATGCATAGGACAACGTGTCATATCAAAGAGGACTTGATGGGCAAAGCTCTTCCCTGCTGGTATACATTCGACTATCTGCAAATGTTCGATTCGGCTGACATCAAACAAACACATCCTACACAGTATCTTGACTCTTGCTGGGAGCCGCTACTGCAAATGCACAACGTGTTGATTGAAGTGCTTGACAAAGCATTGTGAATCGTCAGAGGTGGCTCCAATCAATACAACGAGTAAAACCGACCACGAAGATCGCGCCTTCTCACTGCTGCCAACACAATCGCGCGGTCGCTTCGCATTTCGTTTCCTGCCGCGAAGACTTCCAGTCAAATCGGTTGACCATGGTTGCAGCCATTAGCAAAACAAAATCCAACAGTGAACCAATGTTCATGTTGTTTTAGATCCTGCAGATCGCTTGACCCAGCCCACCCCAGGTTGAACTGGGCATGGATTCGAACACGTGTCTTAAGCGGCCAATCTCTCCAACACAAAGCCGACATGCATCTGTCCTGCATGGGCTAAGGCAGCTCCATTGGATCTTACCGCTGAAAGCCTAAAGTCGGAAGCGAGAAACCGTGAACATCAACCTTGTTACTAGTAGCTTCTTGTTCCAATCAAATTCTATTGAGCACATGGCACGAAGTCATGATTGTGGCGGAGCTCCTGATCGGGTCAGCAGTGGAATCAATGATCGTTCCGTTGAATCATTCAATCATTGTAATTGGAAAGTGATAGTACTTCGATTTTTCACTCGTAGACCAGCCGGTCTCCTCCGAAGCATGCCGCAAGGCCTGCCAAGCCGAGAAGGAGAACTGAATCCATCCGACTTTCGCCCACCAAGCCGATTGATTTGTTTCTGGACCCGCGGGATAGTGTCCGTAGACTCTCCGACATGGCCAACCAGCCTCTGGCTTTCTCTGTACTGCTGCCAAAACCACTGCCGGATCTTTTCGGAACCTTTCGGCCTCAAGGACAGTTTCAAAAATACTGTGGAGTTGCTCCCTCTTTCCATCCCTCTTGCGTCTCGACTGTCTCTCCTTTCTCCTCTTGCTCTGGTGACATTCTCGTACTTACGGTCGCTGCCTCTTCTATGAAGATTATGAAGGTGGGAAGCCTATTTTTATGCATTTCTTTCGGAAGGGAGCAAGTCTTCGACTTGGAGCCGGTCGCACCAGATTGTGTCATTGTATGCTTCACTGCACCCTCAGGCACCCCCATCCCTCTAAGGCTCAACAGCGAAGCGTAGAGCTGCTCCGTTTCTCTTCAAAGCAGCAAGAACCTCAGGGCACGTGGCCCGGAAAAGGCAAATTGAGCCATGATCAGTCTATTTCTACAAAATCACCCAGTAAACACACACAAAGGAAGAGTGGTCGGCCGGTAGGTAGGTAGTAATAGCAGTGGTCCGGGCCTTCAAATTCAAAACCCTATATTTGAGGGCCCGGATTCTTAGGGCCTTAGGTAGTAGGTAGTAGTACGGTAGCAGTAGGTAGTAGCAGGCAGTAATAAGGAGCAATAAAATGTTATATACTACTGACTAGTGACTTAGGACTTGTCGGACATACACGCCTATGTCATCAAGATTGATCCAACATTGGCATTTCCTCTTAAGGCCTATGTCATCAGGCCACAACCATGATATTCATAGAAATATGTATGAGGTATTCAAGGAAGCAGCGCCCGCAAAAACACATAGTCGCACCCTATGTCACCACTGTGTCACCAGGGTGCCAGGCAGTGGTATCTAGCATTATTTAGCTCGAGGAGGTGTCCACAGGTCCTATGACACCAGGTTTCCCAACCCAGACCTTTTTTTAAGCTCGATATGTCAGGGCACATGACTTAGCCCTGGGGGTAGCCAGATTGGTATGTCACTTGCATCACGTTGGCCTAAGTCATTAGACAGTAGTATAAATAAATAGTAGTGAGATGCAGCAAGCAGCAAGCAGCAAGAAATAAGTAGTCAGTAGTGGTAGTGGCAAGAGGAGTGGGAGGAGGAGTAGTAGTAGTAGTAGTAGCAGCAGCAGCAGCAGTGGTAAGAGCGGGGCAAGATGATAGGTAATGAGCCTATCCTTTGGAGGACCAACCGACCCACCGACCCACCCACCTGCTGCTGCTCCCTACTCCTACTCCTACTCCTCCTACTACACCACCACCACAACAACAGCAACAACAACAACGACGACGACGATGACGACGACGACGACGAGGACGAGTACGACGACGAGTACGACGACGAGTACGACTACGACTACGACTACGACTACGACTACTCATACGACCACGACCACGACCACCACCACCACCACCACCACCACCGCTGCTATCCTGTTGCTACGTCTCATCATTGCCGGAACACCAGTGGTAAACTGTGTTTGTTGCTTTGATGTTTTGCAATTTCTTTGTATTCCGTTTTGAAGGCTGGGAGCACCACAAAGTCTGGATCCTGACATCTGGCGCCAAGCAGGATGGGTCAGGATGGCAGAGTAGGTGGCTCACTGCAATCTGTTTTCCCTGCAGACCAATTGTGCAGCATCTGGCCTTCTTGAACTCCTCCGGCAAATGTGCGAAGGCTTCTGGGCGGACCTGGACGGTACCAAAGGACGACGTTACACGACTCATTTGCTAAACGACTCAGCCTCGATGGCTTGCAGGAGAAAGTCCTGATGTTCCAGCAAAACTGATGCCTGAGTGAGATGATATGGAACGTTCTAGCGTTTTTACTCTTCTCTTCAGCCTGGCAATTGTTTCAATTGCTCAGGGAGCTACACAGGAGGCCAGGGCTTCTCCGCGCTCGCCCACTGCAGCCAGCATGAAGTTCCGGTCTTTGCGGAGCGCCTGCTTGTCAATTCAGCGAGGCCCAGCAGGGATCAAAGATGCCCCCCTTTAGCACCCTTTAGGCCCGAAGCACGTTGGACACAGACTCAACCTTCGAACATATCCCTCCCCCCCCATCAGTGGAAGTAGAAAAGACTCGGAACTCCTCGTCAACCTGGAGAAGAGCTTCTGGGTTTCGACGAGCAGCAGCGAGCAGAAACGATCGATCTTGCCAAAACTCCTGGAGAGATGACCAGTGACAACGCTACCAATTATTGGATGATATATGATAATATTGGATACTCACTTGACGTTTACCTTATCGCCCTTAACTGATTGTCAATGTCAAAAAGTCCAGAAAACATCCTTGCGTTTTGATGTTCAGTTTGAGTATCCAGGGTGAAATGGATTTTGTGATCGGCCATCTTTGACTGTGAATTTAAACCGATTAATGTTCATGTAAAACATCTACATGAAATGTTTGTCTGTTCGGCTCGTCTCAAATGGCTCCTCTGGCACATATGGAAGGGCTGTTGCATTTTGACCTCACTTCACGACTGGAAGGGCAGATCAAAGGGTCGGCAAGCCGAACTAAGAGCCCAACGAAGAGCTTCAAGCACAAATCGCCGATCTTGCCGCATGAACTCGCCAGCATAGCGAAGAGCAGTGCCGTCCTTACTCAACAAACGAACAAGTGAGGTTGGTGTCATTGAATTACAATGAATTGATCTTACTGCACCGCTTCAAAGATGTGCTTATATAAATATGTAAAGAGTATATAGCGATTTATATAGCGGCTGCGGGGTGAAGAAGTGCTTGAAGTACAAACATGGAAAAGTAACCCTTACAATCAAAATGTCTACAACCAGTCTACTCTCAAAGGTATGCCAATAGGTCAAAGAACAACAACGGAATCTGTTCGATCCGACCTCATGAACGTGAATCAGGAACAAAAAACAACTGCTCGACAAAGACGAACATCTTCGAGAACTCTGCATTGGGTGAAATCCTGGAACCACCAAGGACGCTACTAGGGGCTCCTGGGTGAATTCCTGGAACCAACTTTTCATCAACCGCTTCAGCTTCGTCTTCGTCCCTCGGATAATGCCCGAACTCGGTTCCAGACATTCTGGATCGCTGCAAGGACCAGCGCATGGTCATAGCCTCTTTGCTTGTGGCTGATTGGGGGTCAATGTGTCTTATCGTGTCTTATCCATCCATCGCCAAATACGCCATGGATTCGCCATCAAAACGAGGTCCAATGCCGCCGAGATGCGATAGATTTCGTCCATGAAACGCAAGGCATCGCCGTTTCTGCGTGGAGCGAAGTAGTCAAAAAAGGCACAGTGGTATGTTCACCTCGTTTTCTTGACACAAACCCCATGGGTGATGGTCAAATCAAGACCCGATGTGTGAGCGCGATACGATTAATTAGCCAAATTAGCCGGTTGGCCTTTGTACAGCATCATACAGAAAGCCGCGGTCCTGCAGAAGCCGAAGCGGATCAAGCAGCACTGGAAGTCAAGCAGCAACGGGTTCAAATCAAGAGCAAACAGTGAGCTGAATACAATTCAATGCATGTGGGAGCCGCTGCTTTCCATAACTTTGCCTTTATACAAACACTGAATCCTCCTCTCTTCTGCTTTCTCATGAAGATGAATCTGTGTTTTTTCATCTTCCATGTCTTCATGTCTTCCGTGCGGGTTGCACATGTCATCCGTCCTCCTGAAAGCCTGCAGGGCAGCGCAGCACCGCCTAGTTGCCGGTCACTCCACACGACTCCGACGGGTTGGGAGTTGAAAGGCGACCACCCGTGGCTCACCCGACAGCTACGTTCGCCGCTACGTTCGCCGAGCTAGCACATTGAGTCGCTGACGCCTCTCCCTCTCCAGGGAGACTCCCGGAACTCTATGCTTCCCTCATTTTTCAGTCCGCAAATCAGTCTTCATGTATTGATGATCGCAGATTCCCGGAGAAGCAGAATCAAGGGTTTTGCCCATGAGCTTTGCTTTGAGTTCGACGACTCAATGGCTGGACATAGGCCACCAAAAAAAACCTGATAGAACCCACGAACCCGAACGCAGTCACTTTGTATAGAAGCGTAGCACTCAAAGCGTTCTTGTTTTCGGAGATGACTCGCAGAGTCATCAACTAAAGCAGCGCCAGCACCTCCCCAGCCCTGCGGACACTCTTGCTTGACACTCTTGCTGGACACTCTTGACACGATACTCTTGCTTGACACTCTTTCTTGACACTCTTTGCTAGACACTCTTTCTTGACACTCTTTGCTAGACACTCTATCTTAACACTCTTGCTTGACACGTTTGCTGGACACTCTTGCTGCACACTCTTTGCTACAGTAGACATTCTTGCTGGACACTCTTGCTTGACACTCTTTCTTGACACTCTTTGCTAGACACTCTTGCTTGACACGTTGGCTGGACACTCTTGCTGGACACTCTTTGCTAGACATTCTTGCTGGACACTCTTGCTTGACACTCTGCTAGACACTCTTGCTGGACACTCTTGCTTGACACTCTCTCTTGACACTCTTTGCTAGACAATCTTTCTTGACACTCTTGCCTGACACTCTTTGCGGGACACTCTTGCTGGACACTCTTTGCTAGACATTCCTGCTGGGCACTCTTGCTTGACACTCTTTCTTGACACTCTTTGCTAGACACTCTATCTTGACCCTCTTTGCTAGACACTCTTGCTTGACACGTTTGCTGGGCGCTCTTTGCTAGACACTCTTGCTTGACACGTTTGCTGGGCACTCTTGCTGGACACTCTTTGCTAGACATTCTTGCTAGACACTCTTGCTTGACCCTCTTTCTTGACATTGTTTGCTAGACACTCTTTCTTGACACTCTTTGCTAGACACTCTATCTTAACACTCTTGCTTGACACGTTTGCTGGACACTCTTGCTGGACACTCTTTGCTAGACATTCTTGCTGGACACTCTTGCGTCACACTCTTTCTTGACACTCTTTGCTTGACTCTCTGCTAGACACTCTTGCTGGACACTCTTGACAGGACACTCTTGCTTGACACTCTTGCTAGACACTCTTTCTTGACACTCTTTGCTAGACAATCTTTCTTGACACTTGTGCTTGACACTCTTTCTTGACACTCTTTGCTAGACAATCTTTCTTGACACTTTCTCTTGACACTCTTGCTTGACACTCTTGCTGGACACTCTGCTAGACACTCTTGCTGGACACTCTTGCTTGACACTCTCTCTTGACACTCTTTGCTAGACAATCTTTCTTGACACTCTTTGCTGGACACTGTTTGCTAAACACTCTTGCTTGACACTCTTGCTTGGCACTCTTGCTGGGCACTCTTGCTAGACACTCTTGCTTGACACTCCGCTAGACACTCTTGCTGGGCACTCTTTGCTAGGCACTCTTGCTGGACACTCTTCCAGGACACTCTGCTAGACACTCAAGTCTCCAAAACGAGCGTTTCGTACGAGACTTCCTCCAAAAGTCACGCGTCAAGTCTCCAAAACGAGCGTTTCGTACGAGACGTCCTCCAAAATCACACGTCAAGTCTCCAAAACGAGCGTTTCGTACGAGACTTCCTCCAAAAGTCACACGTCAAGTCTCCAGAACGAGCGTTTCGTGCGAGACTTCCTCAAAAAGTCACACGTCATGGCTCCAAAACGAGCGTGTCGTACGAGACTTTCCTCAAAAACTCACACGTCAAAGTCTGCAAAACGAGCGTTTCGTACGAGACTTCCCCCAAAAGTCAAGCGGAAACACCCATCGGAGCCCATCGCGCAGCCCTGCCAAGCAGTTTCGCGATTCCAGCCCCTCCAAACAACACCCGCTCACACGCCAATCCCAATGTCACAGCGACATTCACCTCTGCCACAACTCACAACCTCACGGTTCCCTGCGCCTGCCACGAATCATTCCGCGTCCACACGTCTAACGCGCACAAAGTACTGCGCCTGCCACGAAATGTCACCTCCGTCACACATCGCAACCTCACGATTCCCTGCGCCTGCCACGAAAATCGCACTTCCACACCTCAAAGCCCGCACACAAAGTACTGCGCCTGCCACGAAAAGTGACAATATCATCTCATGTGAGCTTCAACAAAATTTGCACCACACCACACGTTTGGAATGATTTCGGCCCGTTCTGAGCACAGTCCCATCCACCAAAATCACCATTTCAGCTGAGACTTGTTACGAAAACAGCGCTTCGATGCCACACCCTGAAACGCAAGCCCCAATGGCACGGCCACATCCAACACCCCAAAAACACGACTCTGCAAACGCTAATCCCAATGGCACTGCGCAGCAAACTGCGGATCTCACAAAACGCTGCGCCTGTGCAGCGAAATGCATCACGTTTCTTGCGCGACATGTCATTCTCATGCAAATCACAATGTAATAGCGGCGCAAACTGACACGTGACACATCCACGAAAAGTCACTTGCAAAAGCTTCCCCCAATGGCAGGGCCATAGAGACATCATACGGACGGTTGCAAACGGTTGCGGACGGTTGCAAACGGTTGCGAACTCGAAAACAACGTCGGGCAAACACAGCTCTACCCTCAGTCTCCCAAGTTTTAACGAGAACCCTTCGCTACGCATTCGGGAATTATGCTTGAAAGACTCCATAGTAAATAGTAGTAAGTGTAACAACTTGGGCTTTTTACACCAGCTGTGCTGGGTGATGTTGGGCGTTAAGTCTTTCTTGCCTCGCTGTTGCGCTCAATGGCTGCAAGCGCGAAATCCCGGTCCTGGAGGACAGTAGACTCATGACAAGGGGGAACAATGGGAGTGCCTCATGAGGCCTCATGGCGCAATGGAAAACGAAAAACGAACTGAAGCCTACGAGTACTAGACAACACAATTCCTGTTGGGTTGTGCCACGGTTGTGTCTCGAACAAAATACATATTATTGGTATGCTCCTATTCATTCCTAGCTGACTTGATAGAACGAGCTCCTTGCCTGCCACAGGCTCATGTCAATAGCTGCATTTGCATTCCGCTCAATGGCCGCTAGTGCCACCTCCAAGCATGATCCCATGCACACATATCCGTTGACTTCCAAGTAACGCATTTGCGCAGTCTACTTGTATGAAGAGTCATTGAGAGAAGATAGGTTTCGATATCGTTTGATAGCTTTTGCCTGGAGATGATACTGAATCACTCAAAAAAGCGCCTCGCGACTGCTCTGCAGTTGGGCCGAGGCATAAGCTAAGGCTACGCCATCCTGCTGTACAGCAGCCAGCACCACCTCTCAAGATGGAAGGCATGTGAGGCCCGTGCAACAGGACTTGGAGCAACAAATGCTTCGCCGCCAAAGATTGTATCTTCTTGATGCCTCTTTCGATGTTGAAGGGCTTACCACCTATGCACATAGATGCACACATATCCACATATATTATATGCACATATATTCGCATATTGAACATGTATGCATATATTATATGGATACAGGGGCATGCATAGCTGGGATAGCTGGTTTTGAAGACAAGGCGAGCATGAGGCTAGAGGCTAGGTATCTTGAAAGACTAGGAGCGCAGGTTTCAAACCACTGCAAAGATTTGCTTCAAGATCCTTCAAGCAACCTGAATCAACAATGCTCAAACAGAGTAACAAATGGGAACAATTGCAACTATCTTTGCCAGACAAAGACAGACTGCAGGCCTCGCGATCTTTGCGAAACTGCTCAGGAACATAGGCCAAGGAAGCTCCAGTCCTGATGTGAGTTAAGCAAAGGTGTTCGAAGAAGGCCTGTCAATCAGCTTGCAACCAACACAGCTAGAACGGAAGAAGCTTCTACCTCGAACCTCCCAATGGACATTACCAGTGCTTCACAACCTCTCAGTCCTGCCCACCACCTTGAGAATAAAGGCCCGACTTCGGCGGCAGTCCTGGCAGAACATGCTATTCCTGCCTGATCTGGGTGATGACTGCCGCCCTACAAGCACGTGCTTGGAGCATCACGGAACTAGGTTGGCTTCCTGCTTATGGTTTGTGGTCGGAAGAATGCAGCTCACTTGGTCAAGTGCTGCCCTGATTCTTAGCAGAATGAGGAAAAACGCCCAGAATAGACTAGGTTTATGCTAAAATCGCTGTTCCCGGTCTCACCCATTTTGTCTTACCCCGCCTCATGCACATGGCGCATTGCTTCAGGACGACTCTGCACTGCTACCAAGGCCACCTGGGACAACTACGACGCCGGGCCCATGCCCACCGAAAACAGCACCCGACGAAGGTGCGCCTCTTCATCTTTCCGTAGCTCCGTGACGAAGGGGAGTGCCATACCATTCCTCTTCAGAACCTGGAGCCACATTCGAAGTCGCTCATCTCCTAGTCTGAACAAGCTGAACAAACTGAGGTGGAGGCATTGATGATAAAGTTCTTGTCCTGTCTCCAAGAACTGCGAATCATTCAAGACATACCATTCCGGCGTGAGTGTTGAATGAGTCGTGAGATGGCAGCTCGCACTGCTGTACTTATCGAAAGCCCGTGGCCCTCATTTTACAAGTTTTCTCACCACAGCTCCACCCTTCCCTAGTTTGAGCCTGCAATCCTATCGCATTGCGGTGAGATGCACGAGTGTGCAACAGAATCTGCCATGCTTGCTTAGTTGGCCTGATTACACGTTCTTTCCTCGTTAGCATGTTCGGTATCAAATGCGATCAACGAAAATCAACACCAATCAACACCAATCAAACGCCAAAATTAGGTGATGACTTCCAGGTGTTTCTGAAGCACTCAGCAACTGTCTGGCCCAATCAATGATCCCTTTAGCCTCACGCAGCTGCATGCAGGCTGCCGAGTCTTCAGGACTGCTCCAGCTATCATTGGCCAAGTGCCAATGATGTCGAAGTAAAAACCGGAAAATATGGGAGCTTGTCTATCATCACATGATCCAATCACATCGACAATTCACTTGAGAGCGGTTCATGGGAGCGCACTATCGTTAGGCTCAGTAGTTTTTTGAGTCCAAATCCTCCGTCTGCTTGGCACATGGAGTGGTTAGGAAACTTCCTTGAATAGCGTTGCAGGCAAGGCAGTCGTCACATTGGAAATCAGGTGGAGCTGGACCTCTCACCGCATGAACTCGAAGGTTCAGAGCAGCCTGCACGTCCATAAAGAGTCTCCGATAAAACCTACTTTCTCACACTGCCTTTCAGATGCACGACATATGGGTCACCGCATTGAGCGTTCGTAAAGCCCAAATTTGTTGCGGTGTCGGAGTGGTCGCAGCCTTGCAAGAAGCCGCAAAGGGTCAATCAACATGTCCATCACGTCTACAGAGATCACGTCTACGATGATGAAGCATGTCTCCGACTTGAGCCGAGCTTCCTTTAGCCTCTACGAGACTCTTGGATCGCTCTAAGTACCCTGGCATGCTCTGCTTTGGGGTTGGGGTCTGCAGGGTCCATTGTAATGTACGGTGTCTTGTTGGCCCCCCCTGGCAGAACCTACTGAGAGTACCCCCTGGAAACTGGAAACCATTTCGATCTGATCTGACTACCTGTGAGATAAATTGATGATATCATTCTGGTGTCCTTCAGTTGATGGAATAGTAATATACAGTAATTGGCACCTTGATAGGAAGCCACTGTCAATCCATCCCAGAGCTGAGAAGCAGCTCTGACAAAAGCTTTTTACATACATTCAAGGTGGATAAGCAGTACATACAGCATCCAACATAAATAATAGGTAGAGAGCAGCACAACACTCAGCCTGAGAACAAGCAAGTCATTCAGTAGAAGTTATTACAAACAATTGTTCCAGTAGGTGATATGACGCCGGAAAAAAGAATGAAGATACCCTGCCCCACATGGATATTTAGAGTCGTAAAAAGGTGCACCTCAGAGCCCCAAGTCGATCGAAACCTCGCTCCTTCTGCAGTTCATCAGAAGCGAAGCGCAATGCCTCGCCAAAGACTTCGGTCGCCTGGGCGACTTTGCTTTTGGCTCAGCCATGTTACATGCTTCATCACGGTTACACTACCCTTTGGGCTTCAATCAGGAAGCTGTCAATTGAATGAAAGTCCGAGGACATGGCATGAAGAACGAAATTGCGGTCCTCAAAGTCTAAAGTGTAAAGTGTTCCTGGCTTCTTGTGATACTAATTGGCAACCGCAAAGTCATGTCCTCCCAAAGCTCAGAGCCCACCAACTGGAGAATACCAGCAACAGCTCCATTGGCTTTCAAAGTGCTGAGCATGAAGTCCGAGTTGTGCCTGGGTGTTTTGCTGCACACATGTTTATGGACCATTTGATGTGAGGCAACGCACTGCAAAGTGCTCATCGAAACTCATCTGCATGCCACTCAGCTCTTTACCGAAGGGACCGATTCGCACGTTTCAGCACCCTTGGCAAGCTGTTTCTGAATTTTCTGGTCTCAAAGGTTACCCGGTTTCAGCCTGTTCCTCTTTGGATGGAAAACGGAGTGCACCCCAGAGGTGTCACCACCAAGGACCTTCCTGAGCTTCACGACCAGAAGTTGCGGCCAACGGCTTCAAGCATGAAGTCAGGATCCTGGCAGAGAAACTTCGTTTCAAGTCATCATCCAACACAAATTGCATCAAATCACATGAAATCAGAAGTTGCTTGGTGCCTCTTGAAGGGAATCAACTATATATGGAAGTACCTTGCAACGTGAGCATCGTGATGTATCGTGGTCCAAACTCCAAACTAGACTGGCATGTATGGTCCAGATGCTCAAACTAGACTTGTCCATTCCAACAAGACGACCCCAGCAAGGCCTCAGCATTTCGTTGTATTGCGTCAAGCACGAATTCTCGGTCTCTGCGAAGGGCTTCATCAACATAGCGAAGTGCCGCGCTGTCCTTCGAGCCATCAGCTGTTTGAGCGTGAATTGGTTGGGCATTTCATGATCACACACAATTCAAGTGTGAAAATACTACATTAAGAACTATATATATATATGTATATACATAATTTACACACCAATACAGTACACTTTTGTCAAACAATATTATCTTGCCATGCACTCCCTTACAGTATTTTGGAGGACCCCTTTGCTCTGAGATCCGAACTGATTCGATTGCAGAGAGGATCAGTTGCTGGTCGCCCTTAAATGACCTGAGCACATCCAATCAGCCCGAAAAACTGTCTGCATTAGCCTAGGTTCCAAAGGGACGCCTCAAACAACAGGATTGATTGGGATTGCGGCTCATGAACATACCGAAGCATATCACCATTCCGCGCAAGTGCGGCCAGGAGAAATTCACGGTCCTTCAAACGGAAGAAGACGCATGGTCTTCTTTGGCCGATCTCAGATTGCACAAGTTGCTGCTATGATACTCGATCCATGCCAATGAACTATCAGAAACTATCAATAACTCCTCCTGAAAGTGGGGTGCCAAAAGAGCAAGTGCAGATGCATTCCTTCAGGATAGAGTCATGCTGGCAGAGTGTAAGCAGGATAGACTTGAACTTGAACAAAGACGATCCTCTTCACAGCATCTAAAGCGAAGTTGAAGTCATTCTGCCATTCTGGTACCTTCAAGGAGGAACCCCAGCATTTAAGAAATCAAAGTCTGCAGTCGTCCAAAGCTATGAATCTAGGTCGCAAACCGTGACAAGCAGCGCCTGCATGTAGCAGAAAACAGGTTTTCCGTTCACCAAGGTAACTGTATTTCCAAGGAATAGGGTAAGGAGTACAAGAACGAAGTGTGTCTGGAATAGCCGCCCAGAAAACAATAAATTCAAGGGAGCTAGCTAGGCAAAATTTAAGTCGATGTTGCTTTCTCAAACACCACTGCTCTTGTCCAGCCTTGCTATTCCGGCCTTACACCCCACAACAACATGGACAAGGACGAGTCGAAGGCGGCAAGAATGAGAAGGCAATAATCACAAGTCATCCATGTAGGAATAGAGAAGAGAAAATGAAGGTCAGGCCCTCTTAATAAGTCCCTTCCCATCTCTTTTTCTCCATTTCTTGATAGATCCCGGTCCTTTTGAGGCTCGGGCCAATGGCAGACAGGACAAAGTTCTTGTCCGCTTGAAGTACCTGCAAGTGCGTCCGCCGTGCGGTGCGCCGTGGGGGTAGAAAACACAGGTGCGCATGTTTTTAAAACGCCAGAGCACTGGTGCAGCATATGAGAGGGCAGTGCCATCCTCGAGCAGAATCTCTCTTCCAGGTGAGGATTAAAGCAATACTGCTGCCGCTTGTTTGCATTAAAAGCATCTGTATATATATGATATATATGATCTATATATATATATGTATGTATGATGTATATATGTATATGTGTATGATATCTATATATGATATATATATATATATATATGATATATATATATGATATATATATATATATGTGAGATAGATAGATAGATAGGTAGATAGATGTCTATCAGTCTATCCAAAATACAACCTCTCTGGGCCTGTGGGACAGCAAAACACGTAATGCGAAGAACCCCAGAGCAAAATCCCCTGTGCGACCATCTCATGATTTCTGAGCATCATACACTTTGGACGGCTTCAAGAACTACCTGCAGCTTGCTGTCAACTTGCGCTGCCGTGACCAATCCAACGAACTTCACACAAACAAACTTCCAGTTGTGATGGCTTCGACATTCTATTCACAACCCCATCTACTCTCGAAAGGCACCCACCGTGCTGCATCCCATCACCAAACAATCCATCCAAAATATGCATCATGCTTTCCGCCTCGCGGTCTGCCTGCAAGCTGCTTTCGGCCTGACAGCTGCTCCCTCCCACTCCAGCAGTCACAGTTGCTCCCTTCCACTCCACTGGTGGCGTCAATTGTGCCATCTGCTGCGACCAATGAGTTGACGTTGCATGGATGCCAAGCGATAGGCTTTAATGAAGCAATGCAGCTGTCTGGTGAATGGTGACAAAGACAAGACACAAAACGTCCTTCAGCAAGTTACATAAATGAAGTAGTACACAGCATGATCAGCATGGAAATATATATGTCATTGCTTCTTAGACTGGCAAATGGCTGAACCCAGACTATTCCCATAACGCATTGGATCAGAGAAACTGAGAATGATCCGTCAAAACAAAGTACATTAGTGTCTAAGTCTAAGTCCCTTCACTTTTTCCCGAATGCGTAGCGAAGGGTTCCCGTTTATAGTTGGGGGTGTGGGGGTTGGACATGTGTTTGCATGGCTTGCGTCGTGTCGTCGTCTCTCGTCGTCTGTCGTCGTCTCTCGTCGTTTGTCGTCGTCGTGTCGTCGTCGTCGCGTCTCAAATTCGCTGCCATTGGGGGAAGCTTTTGCAAGTGACTTTTCATGGATGTGTCACGTGTCAGTTAGCGCCGCTATTCCATTGTGATTTGCGTGACATGGAGATGTCGCGCAAGAAACGTGATGCATTTCGCTGCACAGGCGCAGCGTTTTGTGAGATCCGCAGTTTGCTGCGCAGTGCCATTGGGATTAGCGTTTGGAGAGTCGTATTTTTGGGGTGTTGGATGTGGCCGTGCCATTGGGATTTGCGTTTCAGGGTGTGGCATCGAAGCTCTGTTTTCGTGACAAGTCTCAGCTGAAATGGCGATTTTGGTGGATGGGAGTGTGCTCTGAACGGGTCGAAATCATTCCAAACGTGTGGTGTGGTGCAAATTTTGTTGAAGCTCACACGCGATGATATTGTCACTTTTCGTGGCAGGCGCAGGACTTCGTGCGGGCTTTGAAGCGTGGAAGTGCGATTCTCGTGGCAGGCGCAGGGAATCGTGTGGTTGCGAGGTGTGACGGAGGTGACATTTCGTGGCATGCGCAGTACTCTGTGCGCGTTAGACGTGTGGACGCGGAAAGATTCGTGGCAGGCGCAGGGAAGCGGGAGGTTGTGGGTTGTGGTAGAGGTGAATGTCGCTGTCACATTGGGATTGGCGTGTGAGCGGGTGTCGTTTGGAGAGCTAGAATCGCGAAACTGCTTGGCAGGGCTGCGTGATGTGTGTGCTCCGATGGGTGTTTCCGCTTGACTTTTGGAGGAAGTCTCGTACGAAACGCTCGTTTTGCAGACTTTGACGTGTGAGTTTTTGAGGAAGTCTTGTACGAAACGCTCGTTTTTGGAGACTTGACGCGCAACCCTCTGCGGAGATCGTGCGTGTCGAGTGCGCGAAATGCAGGCGAGAGTGCGATTTGTCCCATGTGCGCGCAACCCTCTGCGGAGATCGCGCGCGTCGAGTGCGCGAAATGCAGGCGAGAGTGCGATTTGTCCCATACGCGCGCAACCCTCAGGCGAGAGTGCGAATTGTCCCATGCGCGAGCAACCCTCTGCGGAGATCGTGCGCGTCGAGTGCGCGAAATGCAGGCGAGAATGCGATTTGTCCGGTGCCCGCGCAACCCTCTGCGGAGATCGTGCGTGTCGAGCGCGCGAAATGCAGGCGAGCACTGGCGACTTTGTAGTACAACTTTAGTACGCGGGGTATCTGGGGAGCTGGAAGATGAGAACTGGTGACTTGGTAGTACAACTTTAGTACGCGGAGCAATCTGTGGAGCTGGAAGCTGAGAACTGGCGACTTTGTAGTGCAACTTGAGTACGCGGAGCAATCTGTGGAGCTGGAAGCTGAGAACTGGCGACCTTGTAGTACAACTGTAGTGCGTGGAGTATCTGGGGAGCTGGAAGCTGAGAACTGGCGACCTTGTAGTACAACTTTAGTACGCGGAGTATCTGGGGAGCTGGAAGAGAGTCCCACAAGAGTGTCCCGCAACAGTGTCCCACTAGAGTGTCTCAAAAGAGTGTCCCTTAAGAGTGTCCTACAGGAGTATCCCACAAGAGTGTCCTACAAGAGTGTCCCACAAGAGTGTCCTACAAGACTGTCCCACAAGAGTATCCTACAAGAGTGTCCCACAAGGAGTCCCACAAGAGTGTCCCGCAGAGTGTCCCACAAGAGTGTCCCACAAGAGTCTCCTACAAGAGTGACACACAAGAGTGTCCTACAAGAGTGTCCTTTAAGAGTGTCCCACAAGAGTGTCCCACAGAGTGTCCCACAAGAGTGTCCTACAAGAGTGGCGCACAAGAGTTTCCCACAAGAGTGACCCACAAGAGTGTCCTACAAGAGTGTCCTACAAGAGTGTGCCACAAGAGTGTCCCACAAGAGTGTCCTATAAGAGTGTCCCACAAGAGTGTCCCACAAGAGTGTCCCGCAAGAGTTTCCTACAAGAGTGTCCTACAAGAGTGTCCCACAAGAGTGCCCTACAAGAGTGTCGTGTAAGAGTGTCCCACAAGAGTGTCCTGCAAGTGACCCACACAAGTGTTCTACAAGAGTGTCTCACAAGAGTGTCCTACAAGAGTGTCCCACAAGAGT